TCTCTCTCTCTCTGTGTGTGTGTGTGTGTGTATGCCACGTCAGCATTACAGGAACAAGGACGACATTGCAGGAACATTCCCATGCACAGACGCAGGAATAAAGACATCTCTCACTTGTTTTTTTTGTTATTACGAAGGGTGGTTACCCCTTGAAGGACATGCTCTGTTTCAACAATAGATGTGAAGCGTCATTGAATTGTCTTCTGTATATTCTCTCTCTCTCTCTCTCTCTCTCTCTCTCTCTCTCTCTCTCTCTCTCTCTCTTTTTGAAACACAAAGAAAACAAAACAGGATGGGAAATAAAGCAATCACTCACACAAAACCCACGACAGGCAGGAGATAAGGGTCACGCTTCACTAACCCAATGTAAAGAAGTGTATCCTGCTCCCCATTTGCCACATTTGGTGAGTAGGGGACCGACGCCCTAACGCTCAACTGCAGGGGTCAAGTGATGCTGTAGATAAGACACAGAACTGTCTAAGCCAAGATCTCAACAGCTGAATCGCGGATATAATTTTCTCAAAAGATTTCTATTAGATCACAGGAAAGCAGCCAGCCAGTACCATCTTCACCCGAATGGAACCCCCAGTCATTATCGCTGTGTCTAGACTGAAATTGCACCAAATACAGGTATGATGACCGGGCGGGCATTCTATCTGGGTGAAGACCGCAGGTATGTTTAACTAGCTTGGCATGCTCAGGACTCAAAAACTAGAACAAAAAATTACTGTCATCGAAAGTCTGATACGACATCCGAACTGTACATATCGCAAAGAGTTATTTCCTAGACCAACAGTCTGACCTGACATAGACAGTCTGATATGACAAGTATTACAATCGGGCAGCGATAAACGAAAGTAATCATGATGCGATCAAACAAATCGCTTCAAGCTTCTAAAAACATTGAGCTTTCCCAAGATGCACGGCGGGCATGAATCAGGTTTATGAACAGGACATCCAAGCTGTTGGAAGTACATTGTGTATTGAGCCACCAGTGCATTTCCCAGCCATTTTTCTCCATTGCAGCATGCATGCGGCCGCACGTTTGGGGGGTCGTCCTACCAAAGCAACATGGCCAACGGCATCAGTCCAAAGGAGGCCTGCACCGGTTCGTTTTTTTGGGTGTGCAGGGCGTTTCCAGCTCCAGGAAAAAGTGGCTCGGAGGTACTGGTGGTTCAAAATTTAAATACAAAAAACGTGGAATGGGTGTAGCCCCACTGCAAATGGAAGGCCATCATCCTGGGACGTCTCGTACGTTGCTAGCAGAGCTATTCCGACAACTATCACAGGATGGCCCTCGTGAAAAAACAGAGCCCAAAGAGAGGTAAGGGTTTTCAGATATTGTCAGGACAGATATCAATAGTGAAGATTGTTCCGTATAAGAGGAGTTTTTATATTGGTGTCAGTGAAGATCATGTCAGCATAGGTGTCAGAACCTTAAGATATTGGGGGGAGGGGGGACCAAGTCAGCGGACTTGTCAACATAGGTGTTGGTGTCAACATAGGTGTAGGTACCATCTTCGCCCAAATAGAACGCCCACTCAAAAAAAGCACTGGTGGGGCCGCCTGTCAGTCTAGATACGGCAATAATGACTGTGTTCTTTTGGGGTGAAGAGAGTATCAGTAAAGGTGTGAGCATAGTTGTCCATAGAACCATCAATACGGATGTTAGAACGAGCCGGTACAGATATCAGAACGCACGTCTGTGCGGCTAAGGATCAACACAGGAGAGTGATGGCATACGGACAGGTGGGAATTGAGGACGTGTCGGTAAAGGTATCAGCACCGGAGGTGTTGGAAGGGAGAATTGAGTACGTGCCAGTAGAGGAGGCGGTCTGAGATACAGTGTTATGTATGTGTTTGCCAAAGTGCAGACTGGTGGGTGGGCCGTTGGCTTTGTCCTTGGAATGAATGCAGAAAAAGGCCAAAGGACGCCAGGAGGTCCGGTAGAGGAAGTCCGCCAAAAGGTGTAAGCTGAAAAGGTGAGTAGAAGAAAAGGGAAAGCAGGAGCAAGATAAACGAATATTAGCTGGGAGAGAGCGACAGGAGAAGATCATATACTGAATGATGAAGCCTGAGTGATTAGGAGGTGGGAAAGAGAGAGAGAGAGAGAGAGAGAGAGAGAGAGAGAGAGAGAGAGAGAGGAGAAAATATGGAACACACACATTGCCACCGAACCACAGTCAACCTAGAGAGGAGGCATCAACCTATCTAGAGAGAGGAGGGGCTGCACCAAAAATGCTGCAGGGCACGAACTTGACACCACTAAGTTACCTACCCTAAAGCCTTCCTAAGCGATGGGACATGTCCCCGAGAGAGGGCCTCTGATATAATGCGCATTCCGAAGGTCGATCAGGTCGAGCTGACCTTCAGGAAAGTTCCCCCGCTTCCCCGACTGTTCTGTCCTGTGTAAAAGGCCATATGTAACCCTCAAACACGATTTCCCTGACTGTTCTTTCCTGTTTAAAAGGCCATATGTAGCCCTCAAAACATTATGGTATTACCCTGAACACAATGGAGCGCTGACCTGACGACGGTCAACAGGCCAAGCTGCTTACGCCACCGCCAACAGGCAGGTGCGCTGCCAGTGTTCCTGCAGATGATACAGACCAGAACTCTGCATTGTCTGAGCAGAGCATAGACATCTGGTAAGGAACAAAAGAACCGCAGTCCTGGGGGCGAGGAAGGGGTGACAAGGGGACAGGCGGCCCAGGGATAGGGGGGAGGAACGGAGAAAAGGGGGATCCGGGAAGGGGATGGGTGTCAGAACAAAAAAAAGACCTCAGGGAGCGGGGAGTAGGAGGATTGGGGCTGATTGCACGGACCTTTTCACACATGGAAAAAGTGGAGTCCATACAACTAAAGCCTAAACGGAAATGTTGAGCACGTGGCACAGATAGGAGGAGATTGAGGATTAAAAAAAAACAAAAACCGCTGACTGTCCCGTCGGCTAGCTCAGTAGGTTTCATGCCTGGACGGCAACGAGTAGGTGCCGGGTTCTAATCCCATTCCGTTGCCTTCACTTTCAGTGGCCTGAGGAGGATGGCCAAGGCCAGTCAACGCTGGTAGCTCGCTGGGGCAAGTTGTGCTGCCCTGTAACCAGTGGCGATGTGCGAGCATCAGGCCAGGTGGAAGTGACTGCTCAGATCCTGTTGCGGCCGGTCGGGACTCGGTCAGAATCATAATAGCTTGCATTCATGGCTCGATTCCGATGCATATTGGGGTTGAGAACCTCAATTTCATGGTACTTCAAGAGGCTTAAGCCGCCAGTTCATGGCCCCAGCCTTGCTGAAAAGAAACTCTTCGCCTATCCGGAAAAGTCGGCGCCTGCCCGTCGTCAAGAAAAGAAATCTGCGGCCGGAAATTGGCGGCCGGCATCGTTTTTCAGCCTCTGACATGGCCCCGCGGCCGATGTGAGGCGTGTACTGGTGGTTTAAACCACCAGTACCTGGTCCATATATCGGCCAAGGGCCCTTGTCGCATACGTGCCACAATTAGGGGGGGGGGGGGGGGGGGGGGGGGGGGGGGAAAGGCTGAAGAGGGAACTCAGCTTCAATCGCCGGGGTAGACGATGTGACTGCAGGCTTAGCACTGAATTGGTGAAACGTGAGGGGGTAAAAGCAAGACACTGTGAAGAGAATGAACATGAACTGGGCTGCTGAAGAGAGACAAATGAGGCCTACAGCATTCAGAGCATGTACTCACAACAGGACTCTTTCCTGGACGTATCTGACCGCAGGCCACAATCACATCTAAAGGACTGTCAAAGAAGTCCTGTTGTGAGTGCGTCGTAAGAGCATGGTATCGTTGTGCCTGCCATCTCCCACTTGCTCAGATTACCCCACGTGATCCATCGATAAGCTGGTCCTCTCCTAGCGCCCCTATCAAAACGTACATGGGCGTATAGACGACCAGGTGCACCACAATCTCTACTAGCTGTGCAGATGTTACAGATACACTCTGATAAGAAGCAAGGTGGGAGAAACGTGCTCACTCGCTCTCGGCCCTTTGAGGCATGATAAGGCAAAAAACTGCAACCTGCTCATTTGTAGAGAGGTTCGAACTGCTCAACGATAGATCCAAGAATTCCAAAATCTAGTCCGAATTCTTTTTCTTTTCTTTTTTTTAAGCGCCTATGGCACTGCCACCTGGTGCCGCGATCGATACGTCTTTGAGTATACTCACGCTACGCCCCCCAAATCACAAAACGAACCTAGCTCAGTTGGCACACTCATGAACTGTTGAAATACAGACCCAAGTTCGAATCCAGACAATCAGATGACCAGAATAAAATCATTCTTAACTACCTGGGGCCTGTCAGTTCAATGACGATATCTCAAGGCTGTCGCCCCTTCCTAAAAAAAAAAACAAACAGGCCCTCAAAATTGCAAAGTAACGTCCTCGAGTATACTCACACTAGGCCCTCAAAATCACCAACGGGCCTAGCTCAGTTGGTACACTCGTGAACTGTTGAAATACAGACCCAAGTTTGAATCCAGACAATCAGATGGCCAGAATAAAATCATTCTTAATTACCTGGGGCCTGTCAGTTCAATGACGATATCTCAAGGCTGCCGCCCTTCTTACGAACAAAAAAAAAAAAAAAAAAAAAGCCCTCAAAATCGCAAAGCAGCAAAATCAGTGGCCGGATAGTCCTCCCTTTACAAGGACTCCATCTGGCGGCTGATTTTCATCTGGCGGCTGATTTTCCTATTCTAGTGTTTTGCAATTTTTTTTTATTTTTTTTGTTGAGCAAAATCAGTGGCCGGATAGTCCTCCCTTTACAAGGACTCCATCTGGCCGCTGATTTTCCTATTCTAGTGTTTTGCAATTTTGAGGTCGTACCAAAAGTGTGAGTATGCCCTCAGTGTTATAACCCACGGCCGGGGCTGGAAAGCCCCGCATGTCAGCCATTGGAAACATTATCGACTTCCTCCGCCCCCAACACTCCCCGCATTCCCCACATGTGGAATGTGCAACTCCCCCCATTCCCCACATGCGGATTGTGGAACTCCCCACATTCCCCCCGCACTCCCCACATTCCGCACATGTGGTATTGGAGCTCCCCACATTATGCACATGTGGAATCGGGACTCTGCCACATTCCCCGCATGCCGATTGTGGAACTCCCCCACATTCCCTACACATGGAATGTCTGCGACTGGAAATATATCCCTCCGAATTGCCCCCACCACATTCCCCCCCATCCCCATCCCCTGTTCCCCATGCGATAGTCCCCACATTTCTCTACGTGATTGCGTTCATGGTCACAGTGAGTTCATGGCTCTGGCGCAGTACAGGACTGCGACGCCCTAACTGAGTGCGTTCATGGCTGCAGTCGCAGAAGAGTCTTAGCGCTGAGTCATTAGCCAAGACAGAGACATCATTAGCGAAGTAATTAAAATGATTCTGGACGTTATCTATGAATTGCCCTCTTCTTTTTTTCGTTTTCCATGGACCACGGATCAGATATTAAACTGATCACGACCTATACTATACGAGATCTTAGCCAAAGGGCCGACAAAGTTATTGAATTGTCCTCTTCTGCTGGGCGTCATAAAGCATTGCGCACCGTACGAACTTGAACAACGCAAAATGGTGTTCCGCCTCATGAAGGGCGGAGCTACACTAGCAAAAGACTGAAAAAAAAAAAAAAAAAAAACACTTTGAGAGATAAGGTGCAAAAGCAAAATGTCAACGTTTTCGGCACAAACCTCGTATCAACGAAAGAATCAAAACTGTGGGAGTGCATAACACTGTATCAACGAAACTTTTCCTGAACTGCTGAAATACAGGGCCTGTGTTCGGACTCTACAAGAAGCAGATGAGTAAAATAATCCAGCGGCATCGGCCTAGCTCAGTTGGCAAGGCACGCAAGTGGCATTCAGGAGGTCTTGGGTTCAATCTCCATTGCCCTCATGTACCTTCCTGGGCATGCTTGGCGCCCGCCACCTAGAGATAGCCCGTTGGGCCGCCCAATTGGCATTAAAAAGCAGTGTCTGCTGATGTTCATAGGGGGAGGAGGGCTAATCGGGGAGGGAGGCACAGCGACTGGCCACTCAGATGATGCTCGGTCCCTCTGTTACCGGCTGTCCCCTGGCCGGTGTCCCCCATTGGGGGTTCCCTGAAGGCAATCAAGGCCACCCTGGGCTGAAAAGGCCACACAATATTGAATTTACCTGGGCTGGTTAGTCCGATGATAATACCTCAAGACCATCGCCCTTGAAAAAAAAAAAAAAAAAAAAAAAAAAACAGTAACTCACCTTCATTTTCACTTGAGGTGACTTCATGTTACCTTACTTCATATTGTTAATTCCTTGCAAGGATTCCAAACAGGAATGTTCTTTCAATGTCACTTGAGTTTAGTTTAATACGACTTGAGTTTGACTTTAATTTCACTTGAGTTGAGGGCAATTTCAATTGAGGTGAGTTTAATTTCACTTGAGGTGAGTTTTTAACTTCGCTTGAGAGGTGAGTTTTTAACTTCGCTTGAGAGGTGAGTTTTTAACTTCGCTTGAGAGGTGAGTTTAATTTCACTTACGCTGAGTTTGACTTGAGTTTAGTTTAAATTTCGCTGAAGTGAACTTAATTTCACTGCAGTTATTTCTTAGGTTACCCCCTGTTCCACATCATCATCGACTCAAATTGAAGGGGTACTTTTCCGTGCGTTCAGTCGTGGTGGTCCCCCCACCACGTACAAGCTCTGGTCGACACGGGGTGAAAGAACACGGAGAGAGCCGCTACGCTTGACATGGCGCACAAGCCCCATATACGTACTTTAACAGAAAAAAAAGAAAGAAAGAACCCTATAATCTAATCGCAAAACAGAAGTGAAGCCCTTTGTATTTGTGGTGGTCCCCACCACCACAACCCATTGTCCACCGAAAACAAAAGGAGTACCCGAGACTACGGCAGACGAAGTACCCTAGAGATGATACAAGCAGCCACTGAAATGTCCAAGCCCTTCAGCGAAGCCCCTGGGACGGATATTGACACGGAATATCGGAAATCGAGGGCATAATTATAAGTAATAACACGCGCTGACTTTTGAGATGTCTCACAAACAAACTTCTTCCCCAGAATAGAACGTACGGTCGTTTTCGCTGCATCTGGACTGAAATGTCAACCAAATACGGCCATAACGACCGTCCGTTCTATTCGGGGGAAAACGGTCCTACTGTAATTATAGCCACAAAATACTTGGTCCAAAAAGTAAGTTCAAGGTCTTGAATTTTGTCGAAAAAGTTCACGCGCCAGACCGGCATTCCTCAGCAACAACTTCGCGCGCATTACCCCACGCAAAGATATTTCCCCATGGGCAAGGTAAGCCACGGAGAGAGCGAGATAATGTAATGGGGGCACATGGAACATGAAACCAATGAATGGAATGGAAATACCAGCGTTACTGGACGGTAGAGAAACCGTAGGCAAAGAGGGAGGGAGAAGAGGACAACAAACGAGGGGCTGTGACTCATTAGGAAGCTGAATACGTGGATTGTCACTTACAGTATCGTTGGTCAGGGGACTCCGCAGACTGTAGAGGGTTCAGCCTCCTGATGAGTCAGTCGGTGAGACTCCGACGAAACAGTCTGCCACAGCCCCTCGTTTGTTGCCCTCTTCTCCATCTCTGCCTACGGGTTCACCGGGCAGTTCTCTATGACTATAGATTGCTTGTACCGTGATTGGATACGCCAATCCGTACTTAGCGCGACGGGAGCTACCAACAGTCCACAAATACATCATCATCATGAACGTACCGGAACGGAAAGATAGCTTGTATACATTCATAATCCGTACATAGCATGACGACAATTAACAGCTGTATCGAAAGGTAGTTGACCGTACCGTCTTCACCCAAATAGAATGCAGCTATAATTACCGGGCCTTCTATATATAACTGTATTGAGGGCAACTTTCACTCCAGATGGTCACACTATAATTACCGGGCCTTCTATTCGGCTGCAGAGGGGTAGTTCATTTCAATGCGAGTAGCGCAAAGAGCGAGCCTAAGAAGAGAAGCCCTACAAATGGCACACTCGAGCCGCGGAGAGTACCGATTACCCCCGAACACAGCACACCCTCATCATGAGTGCATCGGACCGGAATGACAGCTGCATACGGTCATGATCGGGATGCCTTATTGGCGGGAGGAAACGATAGGCAAACCATCGTGTCTCCCTCCGTCCTTCCGTCCCATCTATCCATTCATTCTTAATCCGGCTGCGCGTTATGTTCTGGAGACGACTTTGAACTCCAGTATACCTACCGAGTAGTGGGGGGAGAAGGAGGAAGGTCCAGCGCCGAGCGAAACCCCTTCTCCTCTCCCAATCCTCTTCATTTTCTCCCTCCTGTCCTGCACACTTCCAGTGTAATAACGCCTTTCCTTCAAATTTATTTATCCCACTGTTGAAGAAGGCGTTGATGGAGAACTATGCCCTTGCTGGAGTTTACCCCTGTTGGTTATATGTTATTGCAATGACGAGATTGATTGATTGATTGACCAGAATCGATCTTAATGGGTTCTTTTGTGAATTAAGTGCCACAAATTACACTGACGACATGATCTGATTGGTTCCCTTGTTGTAGTTTACCCCTGTCGGTTATGTTATTGCACTGAAGGCATGACTAATTGATTGATTGATTGATGGATGGATGGATTGATTGACTAAAACTGACCAGTATCGATCTTAATCGGTTCTTTTGAGAATTAACAAGTTTCACAAGTTGCAATGACGACATTATTTGATTGATTGGTTCCTGGAAGGAGCCGTGAAGGTTCCACGAACAGGCTTGATGAAGGCATTTAGGGCATGCGCAGCTCTACTGCTGCGAGTTGTTATGGGTACACACTGCATAAGTAAAGCTAGTCGGTCCAACTAATCTTTCAAACGTAGGCCATCAACATACCCGCACTTTTTGTTCGACGGAATCTGGCGTGATGAGACACAGACTACGTTCCAGAAAGTCCCAGTTTGGGTGTATGGACCTTGCTGTGTTCGGTAGGTTACCTCTCGCTCGTCCTGAAAACTGCTCCCGCATTCTCAAGCAAGATCTTCAACAACTCCAGCGCAACGATTTTCCCTCTCACAGCGAAAGGGTCAGCATTGCCTTCTTGCGGAGGGGCCTTCATTGACAGCTTGCACAGCGCCCGGAAGACCAGAAACGCATCGCGACGGAGCTTATTGGTCACCGCGAATTCGGTGAAATCCCCCCCGCCATATCCGACACCCGCATTCTCCCCGCCGACGCCATCGCCGCTCTTGCCGCCTCCGCTGCTGTCCATCGTTGTATCAGCAGCAGCACCTCCATCTACCGAACCGAGGCCTTCACCCCCAAGACTCCTCCGTCCCGACCCTCCTTTCTCTCTGTCTCCCAACACGTCCCGATACATGTTGATCTCCCAATACCTCGCGTCGAGCATATCCCGATCGCAACCCTCCAGCACATCAGTGCCCTGGCTGTTCTCGCTCACCGCCGTCGCGTCAAACGCGCCGTCGTGTTTCGAATTCTTCAAGGAGGAATTGGGTGTCAGAACGACCTCGATGTCCTGCACGACTCGCGTGATGAAAGTCTGCACAAATTGCGTGACCCCTGTGTCAGAGACCGACCTCTCCGCCGGTTCCATCAGGTCTGCGACGACGATGGGATGCACGGGCACGGTCGACGAGTCTGCCTCCATCCTCCTGAAGACAATGATGATCATCTGTGTGAGCGACGCCTTCGCCGTCTGCTGATTAACCGCCGCTTTGCTGCCCAGGAAGATGTTGTAGCACGTGCGCACGGCCTTCAACAAGCACTCGCCATGCACACGCAGAGAGCTCGACGTGACTGCGGAGAGAAGGGATTTCAGGACCAGCAGTTCGATGTTCTCGTCGGCCATGTCGTAACACTTGCAGATCGAATCCATCACCGATATGAGGGTTTTGCTGTCGGCAGTCGTGCCCACGTCCATTTCCCCGCGGAGATGGCCGTGGGCAATCATCCTCTGCATGCAATCAAGCGCAGGATCCACCATTTTGACGGAAAGGGTATCGCAAGCCATGAAGAGCGGGCGCATGATTAGCTCGGTGTCAAATGTGTTGAAGGCGCGATTACCTTCTTCGAAGAGCACAGGGGCGGGAGGAAGTCCGCCGCCGCCGGCTCCAGCTCTTGCGGCGGCGGTGTCTCCGCCCACTGTAGCTGCTTCGTCTTCCCCCCCGGCCCCCCGGCCATTGTAGCTGCTTCGCCTCGACAGGTCCCCCGCCGCCGATCCGGATCCCAACCCTGACGAGTCTCCAGGAGTGATGGACTCCGTCGACACTCCTCCATTTTCCGCCACAGCAGCAGAGCTGTCTTCCCCCGCGGCCGCGGCCGCGACGCCCGCCGCCCCTCCTCCCCCCCCTGGTCGTTCGAACCCGTTGGCCGCCGTCGTTCCCTTGACTGGTGAGTCGCCTATGCCTGGCAGATGCGCGGATATGTAGGGATTCGATCCGTTAACCACCGTCACTTCCTGCGTCTGCAGCTCGACCGGCTTCGAGAACCATTCGATCACCGCCTTACACTCCGCTACGATCTTCGTGTGCTTCCGCCAAGACGAGTTCTTAATCACTTTCTCTAGCGCGGGGATAACCAGCCGGGCCAGCTTCCCCTGAAGCTGATGAAGATGCGCTTTCGACCCCATCGCTACACCCTTCACTCACCCCCTCCCTCCCTCCCTCCCTCCCTCCGCCCCGCCCCTCCTCTCCTCCTCCTATTTTCCACTCCCCACCAAAAACTTTACCCTATCTTAAAACTCCCGCCCTCACAACGGACACACACCAACACGACCCCGCGTAGTCCGATCCTTGCTCTGGTGTGAGCGGGCACAAACGTACTTTACTACTATGTCCTATTATTCACACAATTCACCCCAAGACAGTTCACCACTCCCACTTTACGCGGCGGAGAGCGGCCATCACCCCCCCATCAGCGATTGAAAGATCCCTCCACACGGGAGCGGGAGGACGGGGGACCAACCACTTCATTCCGTGATGGAAGGTACGGCCCTCTTGACTCATTTGAAGGCGGCGAAAGTAGCACTCGCCTTTGACTCATGATAGAGAGAGGCACTTCACCCCAACCCCCAGCTTGCTTCGATCTTCCGCATGACAAAAAGAGGAAGAACCCATTACCCACCCTTGGTACCGCCAAGGCCTTCTCCCGCCCCGACGATCATTGCAGACGCAACTCATTCATAACAATCGATTATCATAATGATCGCGCAGGCGGGCATTTCTACAACGAGAAGATACGACTGAAATGAGTACTGTCCAGGTTTCTCAGCCGCCGCAACAAGAGAAGGGCCGACTCCCCCTCTGCGTGAAAGCGCGTTATGGTCGCGGGATCCGCTTCCCCCCGCCGTAACTCGAAGCAATCCCGTATATTATTCGCCAATTTCCGCGAGACCTTCGGCGCCGGGAACACGCGCGCCTCGCGGATGAGCCGACGATATAGACTCAAAGATCGGCTTCCGCCGCGCAACGGCGGCATGAAGGCCGTTCCTTCCGTTCGTCCAGAATCACATTCCCCGCCAAAATGCCACACTGCTGCTAAGGTGAACCGTGGGACAAAGCAAAACAGAGAATCCAACCATGAGACAGAGATAACTAACGGCAAAGTAATCAACCCCCTTCCCCCTTCCCCCTCCCCCCTCCCCCCCAGCGGTGATCACATACTACAGTATACAACCAATGAGAATCGGTCATCGATTAACACTCAACGATCGGTTGATTGATCATCCGAGCGGGAAAGGAAATACGATTTCCTGGCCGCCGGCGAGAAAACTCAATGATCCTTCGTTGTGTTTTGTCGGTTCTCATTCGGGTGCTGAGGACGGATCGTCGCTTGTTCGACGAACTTTTGGACGCGAGCGAGCGAGCGAGCGAGCGAGCGAGCGAAGAAGGCCAGCCGCGATGTAAACGAGCAGGCTTAAGTGATCACAGGATGGTCAATCCTGCTCCCCGTCAAGGGGAGCACGAGGAGGAGAGTAAAAAACGAATAGGCCTGCAAGGACCTGGCGAGAGGAGTACTGCACCTGCAGTAGTCTCTAGGATAGGACGAACGGCGAGGAGAGGAGGATCTTCCACTGCACCTTCCCCCCCCCCCAGACCCTCCTCCCCCTCAGGATGCCCTATACGCACGCCGAGAAATTCATCATTCATCCCGAACTTCCTAGGAACCACCAGGTGAATGGAAAGTACTGTATCCATGCCCCATTCAACTTCAGGACACCTACCTATAAGCCCTTCCCGTACTCTCTCAGAAATGGGCGGCGACCTCCATATCCTAATCCTACTTTCCTCGCCATCGGAGACCCGGCAAGGAGCCGTCCGGACCAAGCGACGACACCGCCGGTCCCCGTTATAGTCATCGACGCCAGAAAACAAGAGGAGGCTGGGGGCGAGCGCAACGGGGGACGCGTGATACACCAATCCGTCGAGTCCAAGACGACGGATCGCGCCGGGGCGACAAGGCGCAGGCACCTTTACACGAAAGTCGGTAGGCCCAACCTGCCCACCTGGCGAGGAGCCATAGCCGCACCCACCCTCGGGCGCCACGTAGCATCGAACCGGACAATCGCATTGCACAACCTGCGGGAGAAGCACGTCCTGAGAGCCGTGGGATGGGGCCGTATCCAGTATAGGCTCTACCCGGGGCTAGGTCCCACTTACACAAATTAAGCGATTATCACCGTACCGTAGATAGCAGAAATCAACGGCCAGTATAGGCTCTACCCGGGGCTAGGTCCCACTTACACGAATTAAGCGATATTGACCGTGCAAGTGGGACCTTGCCCCCGGCGTCACAATTTCGGGTGGGCGAAATTGTGTAAGCTGCTATTTTTTGACGAATCTGACAACGTCCCCGCGAAAACCATCCCACGCCGGATCCCCCGATAGGGGAGGGAGGGGAGGCACAGGGATTGGTCCTGTTGGCATGGTCCCCGACGCTACCGGCTGTCCCCTAGCCGGTATCACCCACCTGCAGGTCGGGAGCAGCCCCCGTATGTCTACAACTGATACCACGCTCGGGTGTGGGGGCGCAGCCAGGTCGGGGGCGGACCGGCGACCAGCCCACGAGAGCCTTGGAAATGGAAGGAACTCCAAAACACGGCGCATTCAGGCATTGAGGCAATCCATCGCTCCTACAGGACCTTGCCCCTTACGCAACGACGGAAGGAAAAATGGACAATTTGTGAGACATCCCTATAAGCTGAGCTATATGCCAAAATGCACCTAAAAGATCTGGGTAGACCGGAACACTCTGCTGACACAAAACTTGTCATGTAGAACGTAACCGCAACCGCAAACGCACATGCGCGCACACACAGCAGTCCCGAAACGTATTTCCTTCGCCATGCCCACATCTAAGTCGGGCACGTCCCCCGGATGTTGTTTTTTTTTCGCCAGACTGACCATGATGGCTGCCAGAACAACGCCCGAAGCACGAATCTGGACGCGCATGCGGAGAAGTACACAGACCCGAAAAGAATCCAGCCCATACTTAAGTCGGGTACGTCCCCCGGATGGGGTTTTTTTTAACAAATTTTTTGGGGGGAGGGCTTGCCCCCCCTCAACCCTGTGGGTAGGCAACGACGCGACAACGATGCTGTGCATGCCGCGTTTCTTCAGCGCCTGAATCTGGACGTTTTTGTGGAGATGTGCAGAAAGTCACAAGCCCCCTAAGCATAGCCACTAAGCGCAGCCAAAACATAACTCACCATCGCCATAAACTCAACTCAGCAATGCCAGTCAGTCTTCACGCCCCCGCCAGCAAACCATGCTTGTGTTCGCATCGCTGGCGTGATTTTGAAACCTCCCTCTGACCGCCCTTTCTCGCTTTCCAAAGACCCTGGCACTCACGCACTGCTACAGACATGCCCTACCTGGCCGTACGCACGGTTCGCGATTAGGCTCAACCCTGAGGGGATGGGCTCAACCCTGAGGGGATAGGCTAAACCTCTGAGGGGATAGGCTAAACCTCGAGGGGATGGTAGGTCGGGATATCTTAGGACAATTACTTGGGGGCCATTACAAAGGGCGGGGGGGGAAAGGAGAAGATTACTTTAGCGACTAGCGTCCTAGTGAGAAAGGTCCCCGAGGGGATGGGCTCAACCCTGAGAAGAGTAATTTATGTATGGTACATTGATACATAGACAAGAATGTTTGATCAGAGACTTCAGGTAAGATTTCGAAGTACATTTCTGATCCAGATTGTGGGGCAACAGAAGTTGCATGACCAACGCAGCAAGGTTCACAGAACTAGACATGTGAAAATCATGGATGCAATTTCGCTCATGTCATTAAGACATTGACACTGTACAATGTCCATTGACACCTGCAGCCATACGGAGGGAAGAACAGTGCCTTGCTCCCTCTATCCATTCTCTCTCTCTCTCTCTCTCTCTCTCTCTCTCTCTCTCTCTCTCTCTCTCTCTCTCT